CTTTTTAAAAAACATTTAAATTTTATTTATCATTTTTTTTAATAATAATATTGTTTGTGTAATATTTAATTTCAAAGACTTACAACAACTTTTAATGTAGTTTTAAATTTAATTACAATGAGGTACTTCAAAGTATGCAACTGACCAGGCTTGGTCGGGAAGCGGGAGTGATCGCTCTTGATTACTGGCCACAGAAATAATATTTAGTTGCGAAAAACTGGCCAGATATTTTAGTCGTTTTGAAAACATTTCAAAAAGCAAAAAAAAAAATGCGCAAAAGATTCTTTGGACCGATGAGAGACAATTACAAACCAAAATAAAAAATTAAGAAAATAAAATATTATTTTACGCGAAAAAACTTAAAGCAAAATAAATTACGTTTAGAACAAATATTTTTGAAACATTGCTCTTTTAAAATTTTTTTATAAAATTAAACAACGTTTTTTATATGAAGTAACATCTTACGATTGTTTAAAGAGAAAACAAATGTTCTTTATTTAACAAAGAGTGTAATATAATTTTTATTTATATCTTTTCTAGTTTTAGTTTTTCTAGTTTTATCTCCAGTTCTAGATTAAGTAGGGATGGGTTAGAGGGGGCTATAGACCCGGGCCTTGCAATGTTAGACCCAAAAAAGTCAAGAAGATCTTTTTGTTCAGTCATGTTTAGGCTGTGGCACATACAAAGGCATCAAAAATAAAAATAGCCCCTGGCCCCAAAAAATCTAACAAGATTCTAACAAAACTAACCTAACTTTTAGTTTATTTCTAAGCTAAGTTATTCTATAAATATAAAATATAATTTTTTTAATACCTATTTTATGCTTCGCGTAGTTCGAAAAGTTTAACATATTTGAAACAATTCTTCTTAGTAACATGAACAAATGAAATAATTAAATCATTGAATTACTATAGAAATTAAATAAACTAGATAGAAATCAAAGTGAAACTGCTTCACAATATCGCTAATGATGTTTAGTGAGGGGACTTTTTAATTAGTATTTAAAGCAGAAAAAAGTATAACAATTTCTATAAATGGCAATTGAAACATAAATAATTAGAGTTAGTAAACCAATATCTAAATATTTTTCTTTATATCTAATAACTTGCTATATATATATATATTTGTGTTCTGTCGTGACCTCAGACGCGGTGCTTGTTCATCCACGAGTGTTGTGTGCATTGTTTGTGTTTAGTAACACGAAACTTCTTATATGCGGTAGTGGTGTAGTGGTAGAGCGCTCACTTCATAAACGAGTGGTTCCGAGTTCGATCCCCACCACGTCCCTGGTAGTACCGGGCTTAACTCGTTTCTCCGCGCAGCGGCCTTGTTCGTCAAGGTTCGTGTTTCGGAGTTATAGAGTTGAGAGAGGGTTATAGCCACAAATAAGTAGCCTCCTCGTCTGTAGTGGCCTTCTCGGCCTTGAGGAGGTGAATTAAAAAAATATATATATATATATATATCTTTTTTACATAATTAGTTTTATTAACTTTGATTGATGTTTATTGATTATTAATAAATATTGATATTAATAAATATGTTGATGATTATTAATAACTTTATTGAAAACGTAATTATTTCTGCAAGTCTTTGTTTACAAATTAAATCCTAAAAATTGCTTTAAAAGATTACATAACAATGAAAAAAATTACATTTACATAAAAAATACTTTTTAAATAAAAAATAAGAATATACTAATAAAATCTATAATTTATAAAAAAATTTGATGATTTCAAAAATATATGTTATAAAACATTAATTTTTGTAAACAAATAATAACAGTTTAAGAGATTTACGGCTTTGCAGATAAGGCTCCGAGAATGAACCTTACCTGCAAAGTATTTTTTTGAGTCAGCGTATTTTTTGAACCAGTAGAATTAGTTTGTTCGTAAATTTGGCGGATTTTTAGTGTTCGCGAATATTATTCTTTGGCACCTAGATGTTTCGAGAACATTCAAGTTTATTAAGTTTTCATGTATGTCCATAAAACAAAAGTTTTTTGTTACTTACGTAAACTTAAATGTTCTCACAACGACTAAAAAAGTTTTTTGCAACTAAATGTTTACATGTTTGAATGTTCTGAATGTAGAAACGCTAAACTAAACTTAAACTAGGAAAAAAATTAAAAAAAAAAACTAACAAAAAAAAAAAATTCCTAACGAAAAAAGAAACAAAAAACAAATTCATAACGAAAAAGAAATTATATGAGCACTAAAATGAAAATAAAGACTTTAACTCGAAGCGAAACTTTTTGTTACGCTTTTAATTACGTATGAAATAAACGTTATTAAAACTTATCTTTTAAGCATTATTAAAGTTACGCAAAACGATTTTAAATTAAGTAACAAATTACTACTAATGATTGGTTTAATAAAAGAACAGATTTTATTAAATTTATTAATAAGTGTTTTATATAATATTTTTAAATTGTATAAACATTTATTTTGTTGTTATTTAAGTGTTTTATATAATATTTTTAAATTGTATAAACATTTATTTTGTCAAAAAAGCTGCAAAAAAAAAAATTGTTAAAAAAAAAAACGTAGTCTTTTTAAAAAAGTAATTTTTACTAATTTCATGCTCTAATTAGTGAGTCTAATTAAAAAAAAGGTTTTGAACTTTTTTATTCGTAAAAATAGAAAAAAATAAATAAATAAAATGCACCTGCGATTTAAATAAAATAAATTGCCAACAAACTTTTTAATTTAATTTTAATTTGAGTATTACAACTTTATTAACAAGCGCTTCGCGTAACAAGTGCTTCACGTAACAAGCGCTTGGCATAACGAATTTAAAAATTATTATTTAAAGATTTAACCTCATTCATTTTTAATGAAATTGAAATAAAATAAAAATTGTTTACAAAAAATAAAATGCGTTTATGTAAACAATAAATATAACTAATTTTATGGTTTTATTTAAAGCCTTTGCGTAAAATAAAAAACTTTAGAAAAGATCAACAATTAAAAGATATTTATAAAGTTTTTTTATTGCATTCAAATTTTAAAAACATCAAAAAACCATGGTCAAGTTGTAAAGAAATAAAAATATTAGCGTGGTCAGTTACAGAGTGCAATCGCACTCCATTCCTGTCCAAGACTATATATATATATATATATATATATATATATATATATATATATATATATATATATATATATATATATATATATATATATATATATATATATATATATATATATATATATATATATATATATATATTAATATATATACATATACATATATATATATATATATATATATATATATATATATATATATATATACATATATATATATATATATATATATATATATATATATATATATATATATATATATATATATATATATATATATATATATATATATATAATTATTTTATAAACGTCAATAAATACAAACTTCTCTCAATACTAAATTTATTTTTTAAAAGAAATTTTCGCTTTCCAGCATCTTCAAAGTTTTTTGTTTGTTTTTTGTCGCAGATTTTCTGGTAATACTGGCCGGAATGAGGGGGTATCACCACCAAAATTTTTTTCCTAGAATATGCCCTGATATGATATATATTTCAAAAATAATATTTATTTCGAAGTATTTTTAATTTATTTATCAAAATTATCATAACAAAACATTCGAAATGCATTTTTTTTATTTTTTCTTAAAAAACGCAATTTTTTATGTAATAAAACCAAAAATAACAATTTTGTTTCGAAATGAATATTATTTTTAAAATTTTTATATAATTTTGCTTCATTTGAGTACCAGGTTGACATATTTTTGAAAAACTTTTTTTCAAAAATATTAGGGACCCATTAAATATTCGAAGGTCTTGAGGGACCCCTTAAAATATTTTTTATTCAAAGAAAAATTTAAATCTAGTGTTTTTGCATTAGATAGAACACATTTAGGGGGTGAGAGCAGATTATTTTCAAAAATGTTGTTTTTTGGGACACCCTTATATATATATATTCAATAGAGCCCCAGATTACTCAAAACTACATAGAGAAGTGTTATATACAAAGCAGGAAAATTTATATACAAAGGGAAAATTGCGCGGAAAATTGTTATATACAAAAGGAAAATTGCGCGGAAAAATCAAGTTGAGCGCGGTACTTCTAGAGACGTGGTGGGAGTCGAACTCCGAAGCGCTCGCTCACAAAGCGAGCGCTCTTACCACTACACCACTACTGCATATATATATATATATATATACATATATATATATATATATATATATATACATATATATATATATATATATACATATATATATATATATATATATATATATATATATATATATATATATATATATATATATATATATATATATACATATATATATATATATATATATTGTTCTGCAATCATATTTGAAATAAATTACATAAAATCAAACTTTTATTAAAAAGGGATTCAATAGAGCCCCAGATTACTCAAAACTACATTGAGAAGTGTTATATACAAAGCAGGAAAATTTAAAAACTACGATGAATAAACCAGACAACATAAAGATTAATTTGAAAAATACAACATCATAGTTGTATGCCACCATTTTTAAAAGGTGACATCCCATCATTAGGTAACTCAGGATAAATAACTAGTTTCAAAAATGCAATGAATGATGAGGCTATCTGAAAAATACTCAAGATTATTTATCTTTCATAAACAATTCCGCATCATTCAATTTGACAAATGTCAGCACATGAAAGCCTTGAAATCTGCAAACAAAAATATCAATAAACGCATATATTCAATACACGAGACATCACTGAGAATGCCATACTAAACTAGAAGCTTCAGTAAACTAAGGGACAGTCATTTTATACAAAGATACATAAAAAATTCATATATACCATAGATTCATAGATACCCTATTTTATAAATAGAAACCCTTATCCTCAGCCAATGTGTGCACTAAATATGTCCATCCTTTTTTTAGTATGACCTCACCAGTGAAATTTCGTGAGTATGCTAGTATTTTTACCATTTACCTTGAACACATTATGATCAACAAGCTGATTGAGTCCAGTATCTTTATCATTCAGATGACATCGCCCAATGATTCCAACCACGCATATTTTTTGATTACCATTAGATGATCTTAAAATCAAAAAAATTGATCAAAAAGTTCTTATAAAGCAGTTATTGTATAAGATTGCCAATTATAAAGATATTGAATTATAGAATCTATTTTATAGAAAAAAATCTTCAGAATGTCAAAAAAGTTTGTTTGTCAAAAAAGGAAATCTAAAAGCAAAAAGTATCAAATTAGTGTACACTTAAATAGCTTATATAAATAACAACTATTTTCAAAATTTTTATCATTTTAATTTTTAAAAACTTATAAGTAGCAAATGTAGTAAAATAAATTCACAAAAATTTTTTAAATAAATTTTTAACCTACAAAAAAAAGTTGCAAATAAAAAAATATATATATAGAAAATTACTTCTTTATTTCTTCTAACTTTGTCTGAAAGCTTGATATATCCAACAGTACAGCCATATTTAAAACTCACCAAAATTTAAAAATGGTTCCAACAATCTTTATTTTATTTAATTAAGACTCAAAACAAGAAATTATAACTAATAGTTTTGAATAGAATTAATAATTCAATGTATGTATGTATATGTGCATGCATGCATACACACAAATATACATATATATATATATATTTATATATTATATATATATATATATATATATTATATATATATATATATATATATATATATATATATATATATATATATATATATATATATATATATATATATATATATATATACATGCACATATACATACATACATACATACATAAATTTTTTTAATTTTAAATTAAATATAATATATATATATATATATATATATATATATATATATATATATATATATATATATATATATATATATATATATATATATATATTACTTAAATAATAGCATTTAGTAAAGTATTTTAGCATACTTTCTTATTAAATTTAAAAAAAAATAATAATAACTTTCAAGATAAAAAAGTCATTAAACAAAAAATCTTTTTAGTTCATGAAAGAAGTTTATGATCTTTATCAAGCATTTCCCAATTGCACTTTTCAGTTAAAAAATATCTACGATGTTTATTTTTAAACAAATCCTTAGATTTATACTTAAGTACAAACTTAATTGTGGATTTGCCGCTTAAAACAAAGTTTTCTGGTTGACAGTGAGGTGAGGTCGAAGAAAGCTTTAAGTAAACATCATCTGGTAGCTCCAATAACTGATGTAAATTATTATTTACAAAAATAGAAAACTCTGGTATTGTAATGCATTGATCTTTTAGATCATATACACTCACTATAGATTGGTTTTTAGAGAATAACAACCTTGTGTTTCGCAAAAGAAAATCGGGACAGCAGCAACTTGAAGAGCTAACATCAATCTCTGTTGTAATAATATCAACGGAGACACCATACACTATAGGACGATTCTCGTTGTTTTGAATAGTTGTATTTGTGTTAAGAGTAGCATCTATCCGCAAATCAATTCTTTCCTTTGATTGAGAACATGCACAAATGATTTCATTAAACAGCTTAATAGATAAATTTTTTGAATCTAAAAAACCACCAAACAAATATAAATCAAATCTAGGGTCTCTGTTACAATATGAACTTTTAGAATAAAGGTACATCAATTCATTGATCATCTTTTTAATCCCATTCAATGTGTCTGCACCATCAAAATGGGCCAGGCTAATAGATTTTGTCAGGTGTTCAACTAGTACTACTATTATGCAGGTAGTAGCAGAATCTGATGCAATATGACAAAAATTTTGGCAATTTACAGAAGGTGATATAGTTGCATACTCGCGTTGGGCTACATACAAAACACGATCAGAGTTAGAAAGTTCTCTTTTTTTACGATTTACAAATGATTTTGAATCTTCTAGTACTTTCAAACTTTTTAAATAAGTACTGCATATTTGATCATCAATAAATAAAACCATTTATAAATAAAATGCTAAATAGTAATGCGGGTTAAGGTAATCATTAAAATATTTAGATAAGATTTAAATGTTAAACTTAAATGTTGAATTAGAATTCAAAAAAATAATAAGAATACTATTTAAATTATTTATTAAATAACAATTAAACATTTTCAGTAGTTAGTTTATTTATTTTTATGTAATTAATTTAGCATTGATCAAAAAAAGACCCTCCATATTGCTTCTTTTCTACCAATCATCTCCAGATTGCCTCTTTTTTCCAGAGGTCTTTAAACTGCCTTTCCCTTCAAGAAGATCATTATCTGGTTAAATCATTTTTTTTAAACATTTTTGCAATTAAAAAATATATATATACAACCCTCGGAATAAGGGTCAGCATTCGGCAATGACGACCTAGAGGTGTTTGAGGTTGGCAATAAATTGCCGACCATGTTTCTATGTTTTATGGTCAAACTTTTTTTTTAGATTTTTCCTGCCGACCCAAATTGAATTAAGATCAACAAATTATTGCCGACCTTATTTTTCCTAATTCCGAGGGCTATATATATATATATATATATATATATATATATATATATATATATATATATATATATATATATTATATATATATATATATATATATATATATATACATATACATATACATATACATATACATATACATATATATATATATATATATATATATATATATATATATATATATATATATATATATACATATACATATATATACAAGTAATATAAGTAATATTGGTAGACAGTGCTCAATACAAAAGAAGAGCAAATATATATTATATTAAAATAATAATAAAATTAAATTTCTTTAAATTAATATATTTAATTTAAAGAAATTTAATATTAATATATATATATATATATATATATATATATATATATATATATATATATATATATATATATATATATATATATATATGGGCATTTCCATTTCTGCGCGTGGTTTTTTATTTTTCTTTGTTTTAGCAATTAAAAGCTGGAACTTTATGCAATATGCATACTATTTTGATTTTCTTAAAGAACAATTATAACAAAAATATTTTTATCATATTTTAGGCTATCTGAACAAATTAAATATACACATTTTTACAATTTTATTTTTTTGAGTAATAATATCGCTACATTTTGTAAAATATACAATAATTTTCAAAACGCCATACTCTAGCTAGAAATAATTGATGACTGCCTTTTCTCATCAAAAATATATTAAATATGAGTTGCAGAAGTATAATATTTCACTTGAAATGCTCACAAGCAATTTATTTTCATAAAAATAACTACATGAAATTGACAAATTTGCAACATCCGTGCGTGACTTCAGTGCGTGATCATTCATAAACTGCATTTAAACGATTGGTGTGACTCTATGATTTATAGTGCAATCCTGTAACTTTCTGGAAATCTTTACTAATGTTTAAAATACTATTTGAAAAAAAAAGTATACGAGTGAAACTTATATTGTCCGAGGAATTAAAGTTTATTTATCTAGTAACTAAAATAGAAGTTTTTCTGTTCCGTGCGTGATTCCATTTCAAACTTTATTTATTCTTTGTTAACATTACTAATGCTTACTATTTTTTGTTTACAAAATATTTATATTAATTATAATTAAATGAGAGTAAATTGGAGATCGCTAGTTTTATTTTTATGAAAATAAAAGTAAAAACATATACGAGTTTCCCTGCGTGATTTTTTGGAAATGCCCATATATATATATATATATATATATATATATATATATATATATATACATATATAAATTATGTTAGTGAATTCTACAAATAGAGTGCTCAGCGCTTTTAAAATAAAAAAATACATATCTGATTTTTGTTTTTAACAATTTATATATATATAAATACATATATATATATATATATATATATATATATATATATATATATATATATATATATATATATATATATATATATATATATATATATATATATATATATATATATATAAATATATATATTATATATATATATATATATATATATATATATATATATATATATTATATATATATATATATATATATATATATATATATATATATATATATATATATATATATATATATAAATATATATATTATATATATATATATATTTATATATATATATATATATATATATATATATATATATATATATATATATATATATATATATATATATATATATATATATATATATATATATATATATATATATATATATATATATATATATATAATGATACTTGATAATATACTGATATATATTTTACAATAAAAATTTATTTATATATAGTTTACCTGATTAAGATAACTTTCAAAAATAAAATTAATTAATAAAAAGCCAACTTTCTTTAGTCTGTCAGTAGTAGAAATATTTAAAATACAGATTGAGAAAAATGTGAACGAACAAATTCATATAATGTACAATTTGTCTAACTTTAATTCAATGTATACAACACTGTTGTATACATTGAATTTAATGAAAAGTTATAGTAGAAAATTAAAAAAATGTATGCGCTATAAATACGATGGTAAATTAAAAAAAAAAAGTGTATATAATAACTTTTTAGTTTTTCCTAATTTATTTTTATAAATTTTGAAGTTATTTTTAGGCATTGATAAAGATAAAAAATGGATTATCGTAGTTATGGTATCGAAAAACCTAAAACCAAACCACGAACTTATCCACGGAACATTATGCTCTCTTAAGGTAAGAAGTTATTGGTCTAACTTGGTATCTCAGAGATTTCAGAGATCTTGTCACCACCATAAGAGAAAGGCGTTAAAAAATATAAAATACATATTTAAAACAAATTGATTTAAAAGCTATTTAATATGCAATCAAAGTATAAAATGAAAAAAAAATACGATTAATTTAAAAACTTTTATTTTAAGTTAAAACAAATAAATTTACTTTGATATATTTTTTTTTTTTTTTTTTTTTTTTTTTTTTGTTCTTTATAACATTTTAAACAACATTCCGTTATAAATATACAAATTAAAAAATAAAATATAGAAGTTACAAGAAAGTAACAAAAAAGAAAAATCGTAAATAAGAAATAAAAGAACGCGGGGACTCGTCGTCGTCGAGAACCGCTAAAATGAACGCGATACAAACAAATTAAAAATATTCAGAAAACCCGTTATAAATATAAAGATCAGTTATATAAATACTATATAAGTTAATAAACATATAAATTGTCGTATATATTGATACATATTCTTGGTAAATATATAAATTATAAAATAATAATAGTTCTTTGATAAGTGGAGGTAAAATGGGAAAACTATTAAAAATTATTAAAAGTAAATTGATAGATCGTCAATTGTAAAAATTAATTCTTTTAACTTTCGTTTAAAAGAGTTGTAGTTACATTGTTGGATAAAATCTTGAGAAAAGTTTTTTAAGACAATTTTGTTCCATAAGAATGGTTCGCGAGAAGTAATGCAGAATTTGCTCAAGTTAGTTTGAAAAAATGGCTGCTTAATATAAATTGTTATTGCGTAAAAAGTATTTATTTTTATCTTTTAACATATACAAATCATGGAAAGAAACTGGTGAAGAATTAGTTTTACATTTGAAAATAAAACAAAGAGTATTATAAACATTGAGTTGATATACATTTAAGGCGTTCATTTTTTTTAATAGAACTTCTGAAGCTTTGCATGAGTAAGACGTTCACTAAAATGTATCAAACGTGCTGCATGCTTCTGATGACGATAAACAGCAAGGGCTGTCGACTCTTTAATATTTACATACTTAAGAGTGTAATCGTAAGCGCAAGGCATTCTGGGATGTCCTGGTAGTATAAGAATTAAGTTTACACAACAACAAACTTGGCTGAAACTCTGCAAAGTTTTCTGTTTTATATTGCGTTATTCTTTAATAAATAATACTCTTTGTTGTTCAGAAATGCCTTCAAACTGTGCTGCAACCAACTGCGCAAATACGAGTGGAATTTTTGCATCAATTATTTTGAAAGTTCAATTTTTATTTAACAAACACTGAGGGAAAATGCCTTCTCCATAATACCATTTCTACAGTATTTATGTTTTAAATATAGTCTCATGGCATCACATTCAGACGATGTATAAAATAGAAAGACGTAAATGCAGTTCTATCTGTCATACAATTCATGAAATTCTTCGAGCATTGTTTGAATTAGTTATAATTGTCAACTGTTATACTGACTTCTTATTGACCAACCAATTTGTTGATAAAAATAATACTCATTTTAATTTAATAAATTCAAAGAAGTTTCATGCTAATAAACCTGCTATATGTGATATAACAACAAAGCAAAATAACACGTTACAAAGTAAAATAACATGTTACTGTTGAGGGTATTTTAACTTCGGATTAAGAAATGAATGTCTTGTATTTGAAAACCTCTACCTCATTAGAGAATAAATGTTACAATAACTAGTATGTTAAAATGGTGTCAGGAGCTTTAAAAAAAAATTATTTAGAAAGTTTGATTAGAATTATTCAGAGCAAAGATGGTTGAAATGAAAGACTTTCGAACAATTTGGATTAGCTTACCTGAATGTTTTGTTGTTGTTGTCATTATAAACTAGCAGCTTTAAAAACAATTGTCTTAAAGAAATAGATTTTAGCGTTGCACTGCATATAAATGCTTTATTTACATTTAAAAAAACTAAATAAACAAGATTGCCTATTTTTTGCTGACAAAAAAAATCAATTTTTATAAAGAAAACTATTGTTCAATGCAGATTTATCTAGCTTGTTAAAAAAGGGGTCTGACTGTGTCAACAGTGTGTGGTAATACTTTTTGGAGAAGCGATGGATATTAGGCATGGTTTTGAGACCAATATGAAAACAAACAACCAAAATTGTTCACCAAAATCTTTATTTATATCATTGATTTGTTATATTCTATTTAACATTGTTTATGGAATTTATTGAAAAGTGGCTTCATGCTAAAAACCTAGCTTTTAGATGTTATTTAAAATCATGAAATTCTGTACTTTTAACGTTTTATTTAAAGAT